GCTTTGAGGGCTGCTTCTGTCCCGCAGGTCAAGTCATGGATAGCGGCAAGTGTGTGCCCGAAATAGCCTGTACAAAGTGTGACGATGGTTTGCATCTTCCTGGAGATAAATGGCAAAAGGATAAATGTAACGAATGCCAGTGCGACCAGAGCGGAAAGACTTCTTGTGTGGAAAAGAAATGTCAGGTCGAGGAGAACATCTGCGCCGAAAACTATAAGCCTCAAATAATCGTTAGTGAAGAGGAGTGCTGCCCCAGGTATCGATGTGTCCCAGAGCCCAAAGATCCGGCCAAAATATGCCTGGCTCCTCTGATGCCAATCTGTGGCCCCGGACAGTTCAAAAAGCAGAAAAACGATGTTAATGGCTGTCCCCAGTACATATGCGGTGAGGCTGCCTATAAAATTTAATTACTTTTCAGTTAAACCAATTTTAATATATTTTTTAGAGTGTAAACCCAAGGAAGAGTGTGAAACTTTGAAAGCACCGCGGGAGTTGCTCCCGGGCGAGAAGCTTGTAAAGATTGAGGAAGGTTGCTGCCCTAGTCAGAAGATCGTCTGTCAACCGGAGCTGTGTCCTAAGGCACCCATATCCTGTAAAGAACGATTTTATGAGGTCAAGACTACCAAGGACCCAGGGAGTTGCTGCCCCACCCATGCCTGCGGTAAGCGAAAGACACGTATTATGTATTTAAATGAAACTTAAACTGTGTGTGCTTTTAGTGCCTCCAAAGGACCTCTGTATTATTCAGTATGAACTCGACGAGTCCTCAAAATTCACTAAGCAGGTCGGTGAGAGGTGGACCCATGCCAAGGACGTTTGCAAACACGAGTCTTGTACCTACGGTCCAGATGGCAAGTCCCAGGTGGTGAGCACTCTGGAACAGTGTGTAACCGACTGCGCCCAAGGCTTCAGTTATCAGAACACAGACAAAACTAAATGCTGTGGCAAATGTGCCCAAACTGCTTGTGTTTTTGATCATAAACAGTACGAAATTAATTCGCATTGGAAATCAGCCGACAATTGCACATCATACAGCTGCCTGAAAAAGGATGATCTGGTTTTGGTTACAACCTCGCAGGAAATATGCCCGGATGTCAGTGGCTGCCTCTCTCATCTCTTGTACCAAGATGGCTGCTGTCAGCGCTGCAAGCTGGAGCCGATTGTGGCAGATAAATGTGGGTAGACTGCAAACATGGGACTTTTTCTTACTTCCCCTTTTTAATTTGCAGCGACCTGTTTGCCTGTATCCTTGGCGGAATCGCAAACCAAGGAGTTGCTTAAGTTTTCCAAGCCCGGCCACGGAAGTTGTGTCAACGCCGAACCCATTCAGGGCTTCACCGATTGCCAGGGTGCCTGTTCCTCAGGATCCAAGTACAACGCACTTACTGACATTCACGAGAAATTCTGCACGTGCTGCAACATAAAGTCATTCCAGCCGATCTCAGTGAAAATGATTTGTGAGGATGGCCATACGTTTACCCAAAAGGTATGCTGACGGCAGAACTGAATTCCTTCAAAACATAAACGATATTTCCATTGCAGCATGATATGCCCTCCAGCTGCGGATGCTCGCTGTGCTCGGAGTTTTCTGACTCCTTGATAGATGTGAGAATGCAAGCGGAAGGTCAGTCGCCGTTACTCAAGTTACTCGGCAACCACCACCAATACTAGTTCGTCCTTTTTAAGAATGGTCTTTTCATTAGGTTTAAGAATGTGAAGCATTAAAAAAAAATTATTCAAATTATTTTTCTTTCATTCATTGGATATTTCCGGAGCGGATTTTTTATTGTCATTAATAACATATTAGATTTATTAAAAATTATTTTGTGGACAGTTGGATTATAACAATTGGATGGTAATATTTCACATTATTACCAAAAGAGAAAGACATGTTCTTGGGATTCATTTGTGTACTTCTTGGTTCTGCAATTTTCTCAAAATTTGTCGGCCGTACTACTTACGAAGGGTCCTGCCTTCTGATAACCGAATATAGTTATTTTAATAAAGAAAATATTCTTATTGAGCAACATTGGACTTTATTTACAAATAAAACGTAATATTCGTCGTTTTGTATTTGGGAAAAGAGTTTAAATTAAACTATTTCCTATAGAAATAGGTTTACGTGCCATAATTTGATGTTGTTTATACAAGTCCTTGGGATTAATACTTAATTCTTTAAAGTCCTCACTTCTCATGCGTCGTCTATCTGTTTCGAGATATATTTCGCCGATGCAGTGATTGGAATTCGCATTAAGCTCCACATCCGGTTCGTATATGTTTCCGATCAGAGTCTCCCGCGATTTTACAGCAATCCCCCGCCGCTTTTGAGTTCTCATTTTCTGAGTTAAGTTTTTGAGCTTGGCCCGCTGTGTGGCGATTCCGGTGCAGCTCATAATAATACCAAGCAGAACACAAAACTCAACCACAGCCAAAATCAGGCTGGCACCAAGAAAGATACTGTACTGCTTCCGATACCAATCGTTTAGAGGTGGTAGGCATGAGCCACTGTGACGCTCCCTTTCGTATGACTGCCGCTCTATGGATTGACACTGCGATTCATTTGCAGGCTTAGGATCAAGATAAGCCATTGGATTCAGAGTATTTTCCAGTATGCAGCAACTAAGCGGCACCGACCAACTCCTCTGCCCATAACTCTGGAGACGCCACAGCGATGTGTCATAGTCCAAAGAACTCCTCATTCCGCAGCAGCCAAAGTGCACCTGAGCCAAGTCCATGGCATTCGTAAACAGATCCTGCCCTGGTACTCCGTAGTTGCTCTGCAGGGATCTCACCATTTGGCTCTCATCTAGGTTGATACCCAAGCAGTGGGGCCACAGGGTTATGGCTAAGCACATGACCGACTCAGTTATAAGAAGGACCACCACGCAAAAAAAGTACACGCTAAGGATGCAATAAGTGTGGAGACAGCTGGCCCAGAAGCCCACAACAGCTGCCAGCACTGCCACAAATCCCGCGATGGCCACGCCTAGTGCTACATAATGAAGCAGTGGATGGGAGAGCGAGCTAAGCCGATCGCTAGAAGCAGCCAGCATCCTGGATAGCAGAACACGCTTGGTGTCGGAGTAGAGGTAGCAACCTGATAGGACCAACAGTAACCCACATATCTGAAACAAAGATATCAAATTTATAGTTATTCAATTGTAGGTATTAATTTAAGTAACTAATTTACGACCCTATAAGGTATTCTTATTCAGTTTTCATGAATATCTTCACTGTCAATTAATGTAAAATCCGTTAAAAGTTGTTGAAAATTGTAACGCTCGAAATAGAATAATTTTCACAGAACAGTTCCTCTGGCAACAAAAGCCAAATGTACTGTAGTTTAGGTTCAGGGAAACGAAATTTTTCAATATAATAGAGAACAACGCCATAAACGTATTTCTAATTAGCCAACAACTTTAGTTACTCTCATTTTAAAGGTATTGACTTACCAAAAACAATAAATTACATATATTGAGCACGAACTTATAGTTGAAGCACCGTCCCATGCTTATAGTAATGCAGGCGTGGTAATTAAATAAAGCTTCACAAGGTAAGACAAAACGCAGTAATTACACATTTATTCACTAAAAGTTTATAGATTTTAAAGAGCAATAACTTAATAAAAAGGAAATAGTTTAAGCTCGTCTCCATAAGCTGTGTAGCACTACTGAGTACAATATTAACTGAATTATGTGTCGAATCAACGTCCGTTGCAAGTTCAAAGCAGCGAAAGTAAAAGACCACATAGAGTAAACTCTGTACATACGCAAACCTTTCATGCGTCTCGCTTGGCAAAACAAAACAGAAAATGCCCTCTCTTTAAAATTAACTGCGTTTATGCGATACTCAATTCATGGATTCGCGTTATATGTATTTCTGGCAAGTTACACCCTAGAATCCCCCGTTGAGTCTGCATAATTCACAAACCTCTGTCTTAACTAAATAGGGGATGTTTTCAAGTTCTTGTTTGTGAGAGTTTTTGACTCAAATCGTATAAACTTAGTAGCAATGCTCGTTTAGGCAGTGGTCAAAGAGAAAAAGAGTAGCTAAATATATGGGTGTACAAATGAGTGCATGGGTCTCTACATTCGGGGCTCTCATTTGATCTCTGCCTACATCTTCACTCACATGGAACCTTTTTTCAGACAAAAGCAAACACTTGAAAAAATAATTCCCTAGATCAAAGGGTTCTCTATATGAACTTCGTCTCAGGTGAAAGCCAACGCCTAAAAGTTTGCTGGGGAATACAATTTAATAAAATGTTGTTTGCTAACTAACGCTGAACTAACTTCAGGACACCAAAGATTTCAATTGGATCATTAAAATCCGATATATTCCTATTTAATTAAAAAAAAAAAAAATTTAGAAAACAATTATTTATGTATAATAAGAAAGGAAGGTAACTTTGGCTCGACGAAGTTGCAGTTTGCAACTGGATCATCAAAAATCGATTCCTTTTTGGTCAAATGAAAAGAAATCCTAAAAGGAGATATGTATATAGAAAAAATAAAATATACATAGTTAGCATATACAAATTTATTTTTTATTAAATTTCAAAATCATATGTTTTAAATCGTATAAAATAATAATATTTTGGGTCTTATCTTATGAAATAGAAAATATAAATATATTTACATTTACCTATACATGATTTACTAACAGTTTTACAGTAACAGTAACAATTTATCCCTACATCTGCCGATCGTTCCTATGGCGTTCCTGGCAAAACATAATGATTTAATTCAGGACGTCGAATACACCATTTCAAGCCCTTGAGGCGCGTCTTCAGAGCTATATATTATCGAATACAATTTCGTTTGGAAAACATCCCACTTCTTCTGAACCTTTTCTGCAAAGTCCAGGTTTTATCAACTTTTTCCAAATAAAGAACTTTTGGATTAGTACATCGCTCTTAATCGTAAGCTGCTCTTCAAATCGGGCTAATGGTAGATTCTTGTAAAAGTAACTACCGGAGCAGGCCTGTATTTTTTCGCAAAAGCAACTGCATAATTTCGGAATTTAAGTGAACATCTTTCTAAAATGAAAATAAGCAAAGAGTATGACAGAGTTCATTGGACGTTCAAGCTGGTGGCCCCCGTTTTTTTCATTGGTTACCTGGTCGGATTTGTCTTGGTTCTTTGCTGGTATTGGTGGGATTGGAGCTTCAGTCAACGGGATCTTCGCATTCAGCTTAAATTTGTGTGTCCGGTGGTGCTTGTTCTGGCGCTTCTAAACTGGCGGCCCACAAGGTGGGCTGTTAAATGCATACTCAGAATCTATCAAGGTAGCTTACACTTCCCCAACAGATGCATCCTGGCCTTGGCTATACCGTCTCTGTGTAGCTCCCGCGGAAGGGCCTTCCTCGTCAGCCTGGCCTTCATTTTGGTGGCGATCGGACCCGCGGCAAACATTTTGGCCAATCTAAAGGTGCTGCTGCGGAGCCTAGCCTGCGGCCAGCAGCTGCTGCGCCAGGCCCTTGGTCAAATGCTTGACGTGATCATGGAGCCGGTGAACGCCATTCGGCTGGCCGTGGACCTGATGCTTACAGAAGTGAATAAAGTGCTCAATCAAATAATGTCCGTTCTCCTGCGTATGCAGGAGCACCTTATGGTCGTCAGTGAGTAATAATCGAGGAGATTCGTTTCGACCGGCAGGCTTATACAAGGAATTTCATATGCTGAGCTTATTTCAGTTGACACTCTTAAGAACTGCGGTGCCTGGCTAAAGTCCGTCGTGGACCTGTGCAACACTGAGATGGGAACTCCGTGGGAGCGCTGTAAGGCAACAGCACACCAAGCTATGGTCACATGCCAGGATAAAATGGGTGTCTTCAAGGCGCTCTGCCATGCCACGAAGTTGTTTCTTGCCCTGTGCTACCCTGCAAAGCTCATCGATGTCTTTTGCACCGGGTACTGGGATCTTAGCTGGGACCTACTGGACAAAATATTGCAGCGTACTTAATCGACATAATTAAAGCCCATCATCTTTGTCTAATTATTTTTCTTCCATTAGGTTACCGTGAGTTTGTGCGGCACATAGAGCAAATGTTTGACGCCAATATAACCTTCGAGCACAAGTTTTTCTTCGATACTAATTCCTCGAAAAGTCTATCAGACATAGAAGAGGAGATAATGCAGGATATAAACGGGCGACTATCGCCGTTTATCTTCGTTCAAAGCTTTATGGATATTCTCAGTGTTGTAATGTTTTTTACAGTTTTTATTAAGTACGTTGTAACATCCAATTAATTCAGTAGAATTATGTTATCCTTTCTTTATACCAGAGCTATGGTCTTTTACATTCGCTACATGAACAGCCGGCACTTTCACAATGTTTTCATTACCAAAAAATTGCATCTGCTCGACTTGCGCTACCAGAGGCACGGATACAATTCTATGCTGCCCCTTAACCGACTCGAGAAATCCAAATACACGAAGGTTGCGTATGCAAAGTTAAGATGTTACTTTTCGGAAAAAAAAAAGTGTTAGATACCATTAACTATAGTTAACATGAAATCTAAACCTACCCTTGGATAGTATTCTTATTTTAGTAGGAAATTTGCAACGCAGTGAAGTCATATTCTGGTGACCAGTATCGCCAGTAATCAACCTTACTATGTCAGTCTGTCCGCCTAAAAATTATTAGGAAACTTTTCCTCCTTGCTTCTTATTATTTATTTATCTACTCTGGGATATAGACTTCTTTAATGCAATGGGAGCAGTTTGAATGTAATAGAAACTATGCAAAGTAACATAGCTTGTTATTTTTATTTAATTACAGATAAATATCCCAGAAAATTCTACGAAGGAGATATATGTAAACCTACACAAAATATATATATTCTTGATCAAAATCAACAGCCTGTTCGATTTAGTCATGTCCGCTTGTCTGTTTTTTTGAAAACTAGTCTCTCAGTTTTGGAGTTATTGTTAAAACTGCAAGGATATTTAACCATATATTTCCCAAAGTTCGTTTTTTTTTTTCTTTTCTTAGCTTAATATTTTTAAATTAATCAAAATTGATCAGTCGATCAATAGATATGTACGTAGGTCAATTTGTATACTAACCTAGTAGAATTACCAAAGGTTCAGGGTTCTTTTCAATTTTATTGAATTAGATTACTTGCGGTGTTTTTATATGCTGATGATAGTCTCTTTAAATATGTCTCAATTGCTATCTGACAAAAATTATAACAAACATGTGCTCGGTTATAAAAAAATTGCATTATTGAAACATACTTGTAAAATAAGTAGTTTAAGATAAAAGTTAATAGTAATATTTATTTAATTAATGTTTGAATGGAATAACGCAACGATGAGGTCGTTATCATATCAGCATCGTAGCTTTAGCCTGAAAAGAAATTATCGGGTATATAAAACACAGATATTTTTAATGCCGTGGTCTATTTGCAGCTTACTAGTGTGCGCCTGACGATGATGGAGTGGCTTTCAATTATAGAGAACTCTTTCTTCATGATAACCACATGTCTGCAAATTTTTGCCATCTGCTTACTGGACTACAGCCTTTTCTGGTTGCTGGCCATGATGTCCTACTATGGCCACCAAGAGGACGGCCTGGAGGTGCCCGCGTACATTGACCTGGAGATCAGGGGCGGGGGATTCGTGGCCGACGTCATGAGGGGAATAGCAGGTGCTTTCCGACCCCTGACGCAGAAGAACAAGATCGACAGCAACCCATGCCTTCCCCTGCCTATTAAGCCCGACTACTCCCGGTACGTTAAGATATTAATGCTCTGTCTGTTGGCGTGGGTCATCGTACTGGTCGAACCGTATGTCCTGCGCTCCCGCCATTGCATCATGGCACACTTTTACCCAAAAAGAGCAAACGAGAGACTCATGTTTCTATACAGAAAGATTAGCGAGTCAAGAAGTAAGGAAATTAAGTTAAGTGCACTGAACTTGGTTCTAATCTATTCTGTTCAGTTGGCATTTTTAAGTTCGCCCGTCGCAGGGTGCGAAATGAATTTATACACCAGGGTCAAGGTTCGCACTTCAAAGCGGTCACCTGGTTGAGGGAAAAACTTTCTTGGTGAGGTTTAATTTGTATACCAATCAGACCAATATCCTCTCTTACCAATCCCTATTCATTTTCCCAGGTGCTCCAGCTGCTGCTCGAACGCAGACCACTGCACCATATGCGGCGCAACCCTGGCCTCGTAAGTAACTCCCACAGATCGGCGGTCTTAACCAGTACATCCACTTTCAGATCAAATTCCCATTTCTGCGACACACCGGAATGCAAGGGGGTCTATTGTGATGACTGCTTTGAAGAGTCGAAGCATAAATGCTGCCTATGCAAGCCACCTTTGGAATACGGTGATTTCTCCGACTGCTCCGTAGTCGAGTGAGTTAATCTATATATAATATTTATAAGCCCGCGATGATCCCTGATTTTTTTGTAGGGACTCTTCAGAATTTTCAGAAACAGAAACGTACAAAGAGCAAGAATTCAGAAAGATCTGCAAAGTCAACGCAGCCAAAAGTACCGAGCGTACTAAACATAAATAATATTTGAATGTTAACAGATTTATGTTAATTAAATAAACTTAAACTTTTAGAAAAATCTGTTAGAAATTCTATAATTCGATCTATATTTGTGTTGGTAACACCAATGTGTGTTGCCCAACATGTTTCGGGCAATTGTCAAAATTTGTAAACATTTTCTTCTGCTTTACTCCCAATTTAATTTAATTTTTATACTCTTGCAGGGTATTATAATTTCAGTCAGAAGTGTCTTTTTTTATGACAACAAACATAAGTGGAGTAATTTTTTACGAGTATTGAAATAAATCAACTAGTTCCTAATTAATTTCTATAAAAATAATAATTAACATCATTGGGAACTTAAGGAATATTAAATTGGTTTACATTGTCTTTATTTAATAGCCATAAAAAACCATTTTTAAAATATGTTGGATTCTCTAAAATATATATTTATATCCTTTTCATATGCAAAATCAGTGTTAATCAATAACCTTTAAAATTTCTCTCCTTGCGGCTTTATAGTTATGTTATGCACCTGTGAATGAAAAGAAAAATATAATATATTATTTTCGTTAGCTCTTTTTTCAGTAAAATTATTTTGAAAATAGATGTGCATTTGCCAATTAAAGCTACTTTGAACAAACATTATGAAATGCTTTAGAAATATAACATTAAAATGGTATACAATATTCTTCATATATCATTTAGATTTAAGAAACAATAAAACCCACTGAAATTATAATTATCTGATTTGTATATGAAATTCATATCCGATAAGTGATTATAATAAACATTTCAAACATTTTAATAGCACTATTTCCAATCTTGGATCTGTTTTATGTAGTCAATGTAATTTTAACTTCACTTGAGAAACAAACATATTTTGTTTGTTTGTTAATTTAATTAGTTATGCTTATAGACCAATATCCCACCTGAACGTTGCTCGGAGTGCCGATGGTCCACAGAACCGCATCTGCGACGTCGGTACTACTTAGCATGGGCATGTGCGGTTTAACAACACCCTGGATCTCTTGCGGCAATATGTCGGTATCAACCATGCCGGGGCTGATGGTCTGCAATGACAACTGGTTCTGATCCGCGGAGCTATGGAATTTGGGCAATGGACGTTAAACTCACCGACACCCTTACAAGAGTCTTGTGGCGCTGGAACTCTTGGCGATAGATCTCGTTCATGGCGCGGAGAGCGAACTTACTGGCCGGGTAGATGTTAAGAGAAGGCAGCATCGGGCCCAGGTTCGGCACCTGTTGTCCTGCCACGCTGTTTATGATGACCACGTGGCCCTCAGTGCCGCGCTCCCTCATAGAGTTAAATGCCTCTCGAACACAGTACACGGTGCCCATGATGTTTGTCTCAACAGTGGACCGCATAGCTGCACTGTCGGCCTGGCCGCTCAGTTCACCAGTGGCTATAATTCCGGCGTTACTGACCAACGCGTCTACCCCACCCAGGTGACGCCTGATCCAGTCAAAGGCCTCCAACACCTGTTCTTCGTCCTTCACGTCGCATTTAATGGAGTGCAGACGCTTCTTTTCTTGGGCTCTCAGTCCGTCTCGAAGCTGCTCGACGCGTTCCTGTCGCCTCGCCAAGCCGATGACCACCATGCCGGCGGTGAGCAAGGCCCGAGTGCACGCTGCTCCAATCCCTGCACTAGCTCCGCTGACCACAGCGACTTTGTTCTGCCAACGCTCCATTGTACCTGCCGACTGGTGACCAACTGACTGGCCACTTATTTTACAATCGCGGATGGCGGCGCACCGGGAAGGGAAGCCCTAGCAGTCTAATCAGTATTGATTAATTAGAAGTCGGCCACGAACAATGGAAAACTTTAAAAAATTGGAAGCTTTAATACATACTTACATATGTATACATCACTATAACTATACCATTGCTGCACAACACCACCTTATTGGCTTATGATTGCCCTTTTAAAATTATATTCATCTTGATCTTTGGTGCGATAAGTAAAGTTTATAAAGATCAGGGTCTGACCTTTTATTATACCTTGTAGTTGTATCTAAAACAAAACCTTAAGGCTTTTATATTTATACAATTCACATTCGTCCTTTTAAAAAACTTATATATTTAGTCTTTTTTCACACACAACTACTTATGGCTAAAAAATTTTATTAGAACGATGATCAAAAAACCTGAAACAGATTGCTAAATAAAGAATAGGGCAAATTTATTACTGTCTTTTCTGTCCGAGTCCTTACATTTTTTGCAATTGCCTTTTCAGCCCAACGACCAGACAAATGCTAAGTTTGTTCTTTTCCAGTTTAGGCTTTCAGACTTTAAACAAAAGTTACCCTCCAACCCTGTCCCCACAGCCATATTCACAGTTGGCTTGAGTAAACAATAGTGGAAATTTTAAATTGTAAATATTTGCACTCCGTTTTCGGAAGCAGGTACTGGGGGTTGAACGAGGCTGTGATACTTGGAGTGCTACAAGGTAAAAGGGTGCTCTGGGAGACGTAGATGCCACAGCCGGAAGCTAATCTTTTTGTTTCTATGTAAAGTTTCGTTCGCTTGTGCAAATAGCGCTGGATTTGCTGTCGTCCTTGGCCTTCAATCATAAGCGAAAATAACCGAAATGAAATCGGCGGACTTTTTTTTTATTAATTTTTGAAATTCCTTATTCCTTGCCGTTTAAAATTAGGATACACTAAGTATACCCAGATCGAAATTTATCTTCGTCCGAAAATTAACAAATCCTCTTTTCCTTATGAGCCTATAATCTCCTAACGCGAGGAAATAATTTGTCATTCCATCCCACATAAAATGTAGTAAAGTGTGGAGATAGATGCCTACTATTTAGGAAGCTCTAGGGGTCAGCTTTTTTACTTTTTCTTAGCAGTATCTCTTTTAAAACAAAGATCTTTTTACTAAATTTTTAGTAGTTTATCTTAAACGGTTTCCAAAAATTGATTAGGTACATCAAGATTTTTCTCGTTTAAGGTTTCGCAGAACTTAAACTCGAGTTAAAGGAGACAGAATGGCACTCTTTTAGTTCTTCCTATCTTAGAGTAAGATCCTTCGGTTTGAGTTCCCAGTGGGATGTCTGCAATAAACATATTGAACCAATTTAAAATAACATTTTTATCTTCTTGATCTACATGACTTTTGTGATGCAAACCTAAGGTAAATTTGTATATGCATAATCGTTGGCATTTATTATACACAAAAAATTAATTCATAAAATATATACAAAATATGTAATACTTGATACTTGATTAAAATAAGAAATCTACTTACATTTGCTTTCTATCTCTTTTGCATTTTGTAAGGTGACAGCTGTTGCTTTAAATCATTTTCTCTACAATTTCGGGCCTTGCAAAGGTCTAAAAAAGAAAAAGGTCGAGTGTGTTATATAAATTCTCAAGGATTCGATGAAATTTTAAAGATACATTGAAGAATCTGAACCAGACGAGGACTCCACCCCATGGCGCTGGCGGACGAGAACCACTTGGAGTACGTTAAGCAAGTGGTCCAAGACTGGCGCGAGTCGGTGCGGGAGAGGCGCAATATGGATTTGTATTCAGCCACGTCCAGCCTGGTGGTCTCAGAGAAAAACATGCATTTTACCGATTCTAAACCACGGGGCCGGGGAAATCCAATGGGCACCTCGGAGCGCCGCGAGTCCAGCTTCTACCACCAAACGTTTTCGAAAGGAAACAATCCAGTGGAGATCGAGCGGAGCGAGGGGAACACAGAGTCGGACCGGATTCGGGTCGGCAACGATGTGAATCTCTACCTGCACCAGCCAGTACCTATCAACAACGCTATAAGGGCCTCCTTGCAGCATGACGCCCATGCGACCAGTGACACCAAAGTGACAAGAAAGTAGGCATGGTATAGGAGGCGGAAACGGTGAAATCAGCATATATTCTTGGGATCCTTCTGGATCTTGCCCTTACCCAGTACAATACTAGTAATTCTCTATTCTACCAATGATTTGATCTAATAATAAAACACACTCGACCAAAATTCATTCGATAATGTAGGCAACAGGAAGAAGAAGGCATCTCCAGCCGAATCGATTTATCCATGTGCTCCTTTCCATAAAAAAGATCTCAAAGACTTTGACAGCTAGAGCAACCAATTTGGAGACAAAATTCATATCTGGTGCATTCAAGTCAAGTTCTAAGATTTGGTCCTGCCCATTTATGCAAGCCATAATAATAAATTTGTTATAGAAAAATTTTGTCTATTTAGGTGATGCATTTTCTTCAGCTCCATGTTCCTTTTAGTTTCACCCATATTGGTTAACAAGAGTCTTACAGTCACGGTTTTGCTTTCCTACTGTTATTATACCCTTGCAGGGTATTATAATTTCAGTCAGAAGTTTGCAACGCAGTGAAGGAGACCTTTGCGACCCTATAAAGTATATATATTCTTGATCAGCATCAAGAGCCGAGTCGATCTAGCCATGTCCGTCCGTTCGTCTGTCCGTTTCTACGCAAACTAGTCTCTCAGTTTTAAAGCTATCTGAATGAAACTTTGCATATAGTCTTCTATATACTCTCACTGCTATATATGTCGGAACGGGCCGGATCGGACGACTATATCATATAGCTGCCATACAAATGTTCGATATATTTTAAGAAAAAAAAAAAAAAAACTTTGCTGTTTTTCAACAATTTTGCACCATTGTTTAGGTATAGCCATTTTATATTATTCTAGAATTTCGGTTAAAATTTTATGACGACTATATGATATAGTTTCATAGGAACGATCGAGAAATAAATAGGAAACAAATTATAGCTTCGTTGTTTTTCAACGTATTTTCATCCACTCTGAGATATACGCTTTTTTTATTATTCTAGAATTTTGGTATAAATTTTATAAAAATCGGACAACTATATCTTATAGCTGACATAAAAGCGATCGGTAAATGTATAGAATATGTAAAGCTGGGAATGTAAAACTGTAACTGTCAAACTGTAAACATAATAAGTATAGGTAAAATGTAATGAAACTCTGTTTTGTGTGTGTTTTCAAAATTTAAATGTATAATATAAATATCAAAACCAATCTGCAAGGGTATAAAAATTTCGGTGTGCCGAAGTTAGCTTCCTTTCTTGATTTTTATTAAAGTGTAATTATATTTTATTATTATACCTGCAAATTAATTTCATATAGGACTATGGTTTTTTGGGATAAAAAGTGCATGCTGTTGAATAAAATATAAGTTGTTGCATATTATATTTTCAGTTTTACATTCACAGCTTTACTTTTTTTGCTACATATTTTAAATATCCTTTCAATGGCAGCTATTTTACGAATTTCTAAAATAATACATAATGGACTGCGACAAAGAAGTTAAAACAAGGAAGGAAGCTATGCAGTATGCAATTGGATCATTAAGAATCGATCCATTTTGGTCAAATGAATACAAATAAATACACTAAGAAGAGATTGATATTCATATAGAATATTTTTAAATCTTATACAAACCCATATTTTAGGTTTGAAATATCTAATATGTATAATGTAAATTATAAATATGCTGAAAAAAACAACTTTCATTACATTTACCTTTATATGTTATATATACAGTTTTACATTCGCCGCTTATAAAAAATATATGTCTTTGTATTGCTGTACGTCCAATATATGTTGTAACAGCATTAATTCTAAATAAAAGGCAATTTGTCTCAATGTGCACAAATCCGCACAATCTGCGTAATTTAATTTTTTTGCAGGTAAATATCTTAGAGTTTTCAAACGCTGAGCTCTACGAAGTATGGCGGACAAATCTAACCAAGAAAAAACAATTAATTATATTTTTTCAAGTAAATTACATAAAAATATAAATGTGTCAAATCATTATACATATATGATTTATAAGGCAAAAACGAATTTTTTTTACATTAATATAAGTCCTAAATGTAACTTATTAGCCTCTTAGCATGCGAATTTGAAGACATTTCTTGTGGGGTTCATAACTATTATATAATAAAAGAAAGCGTTTCAAAATTTATTACTTAGTTTTAAAGTTATTAATTAAAACCATAAAAATGGCAAAATTCCCCATAGTGCAAGGGAAGGGTACAACTTGATAAAACAAGTACTTTAAGTATATTTTTGGGGATAATTGTCAATTAGTAAATTAATTTAAAATCCGTTAAAAATTATAATTAAAAAAAAAACAGCTCAAATTTTAAAATTTTATTTTTTACACTTTTACTACTATTTTGTTTTACGTCTCAGATCTACATACATACATACATATGTGCAAAGTTGATCACTATCGGTGCTCGTTCTCATTATAATACCCTAATGGGAATACAAATAAGAACTTCAATTGTTTTTTAATACCATTTTTATGCTGATAGAATTTCTGTTAAACTCAATAAAAAAACGAACAACTATAGAACCGTAATTATTATATTAAACAGCCCGTCTTATTTGATAGCTTTTTGAACATACCACTTTTTGGATTTCCGTTATGTTTAAAACGATTTAAGAAACGGATATAAATAATATAATAAATTATTTGTAATTTATTTTGGGTAATTCGTCGCAGAATGTTATATCCGAAATCAGAGTTGAAGTTGCAATAGTAATTTTTATCTTAGCTAGTTAAGAGGTGTTTTTGTTTGATATTATATGTAGTTAAGATTAATTAAAATATATACATACATATATGTACAAGACCATTTAATCCATGGCTATAACCAGTCGCGCTCTAGCATGTCCAGTATTTCCGCTTTTCTAGCTTCTGGTTTTGACGGGTATGCATACCCATAACTTTTGTCAACTGCAGCCGTAACTTTCCTCCCCCCCACTTTCCGCTTATAGACCCAGCCATTACCCCAAAGCAACCACAAAATATGCTCTGCGCAGGGAAAATTTCATTTTTCTTCTGGTTCAGTTTACTGCAACTCGACGTCTGAGTTCTTGCGTGGGCAGGGTAAGGAATGAGGAGATAAGTTTTTGCGGCAGAGACTGGTGGCAATTTAACGTGTTGCAGACTCCACAGGCAGCAGCAATGTTAGAAGCGATGCCAGAGCAACGAAATTAAGAATTAGTATTCATGCCCCACAGTGTCATTTCCGCGAATACATGCAGGCTCAGAGACTGAAAAAAAAGTTTTCTTGACTTTCCCCCGGGGATGGGTTGAGTGAGAAGAGCGCCAGCGATTGATATGCACACTATACAAAGAGGTGAGGGCGAAATGGACTGCGTGGAAGCAAGTTTAAACTGTGCGACAAGAATACGTGTTGATGTGTGAGAGGCAAGAGTTTATGGCACAACTTTTCATATAAATCCTTAATTATGACATTATTTTGCATATTATAAAGTTGGCAGTCCCCTTTAAGCCTCCCTTGAAGATGAGGACCAATGCATTGGCTGCGGACTGGCATGCCCTCCACAGAATGTTTGCAACAGAGTCCGGTGCCACAACGAATTTTACATACTACAAATTTGGCTACTCGTGCTGCGAGTGTCAAGCGGACAGAATTAAGCCTCAAATGCTGGATCTGTGAGAGCAGAAGGATGTGGGATGCAGGCGGCGGGAACGCAACTGCCGAGGGGTAACAGGTCGCCAATAGTCAGGCAGTTTGAAATATTTCGTATTTTATGCCTGCTGAATTCCGTTGGCGAAGTGCCAAGTTTGCCGCCAATGCTGCAAAAGCCGTCTGTTCATCAGCACCACCAGCCAGCCAGGCATTATCGTCAGCTGGTGGGCCGAGAGAGCGTCGACCACAGGCGGCCTGGGCAGGGATTTTCGATTTTAGGCTTAACACGGCCCACAGTGGAAAGATGAGCGCAAAATCGCCTATATTTTTATTTATCGGTTAAGAACTTGTGTTTTTATATTAACCTTATCATATTAATATATATTACTTTCGGCCTTTAAGTAGATGTGTTTGAAAATTCAGCTACTTGGTATAATTTCTGATTTTTATCCCGATAGAGTGTTATGATCGATTATACATATGAACATGTACGTGTGATATTTAAAATGTTAAAAGATATATATGTAATAAGAAAATCAGAGCGAAATGTTTTGTTCTTTATTTTTTCAACTAATCAATCAATTTTATAAGCGATCTGTCGGATCACCATAATTATATATGACTTGTTCAGCATATGGCTCTATCTTTGTAATGCATAAATTCATGTATGAATTAACGCAGCTATTAAAAAAAAATATTCCAAATGACGATCTAGATCCATTGTTATCAGACCACGAACACGCATTGAAACACTTATAAATGTCATAAAACCTAATTACCAAAAATCGTAAAAAATGTAAAAAAAAAGCTAAGGATTTAAATTATAGTGCAATCGAATAAGAACCGTGGGAGAAATATAGGTAAAACTATACTATAAACTGGTGGAACCGTGGATGTAATCAAAAATTGTTGTTCATTTTTTTTCGACATATATGTAAATATTTGGTCACTTATTTGATCTAGACACCACAATGTGCCATCGTGCGAAAACTTTGAATCGTTGAACAGCAGGCCTAAGCATTGTCCTTGTCCTGGCTGACATTAAAACTGATGCAAATATGTGCCCTAGGACATCGTCGAGAGTGGCTGCTTTTGTTTAGTTTGCCTCCTCGGGTTCAGCACTTTTTGATCCGCAGCCTAGGCATAAACATTTTTTTGGCTCGACGTCCTAAATCGCCCCCAGACATTTAAATTCCTATGTATGTACATACATCAATATAAAAATATTGACCCAATAAATAATCAGTTAGCAAATAAAATTGCCCTTTTATAAGTTTAAAGTAGCTAAGAACAAAACACAGTTGTTTTTCAAAAAGAAGCGATTTGGGACATTATGAGACATAAAGACACTTGACAAGTTTTTTTTTATAAATGTACATAGCTTTGGCGCCTTCCATATTTCAATTGTTCCTTGCCAAATTTGATTAAGTTTTTGTAGCGAATACTCGAATTTGTACATTTTTAATGAACTAGGAGATACACCAAAAAATCATCGGCTAAAAAAGAGCAATAAATTAGAATGGAGAAAAAACAG